TTGTTTGTTTTTCCCCCTCCCCCTTGACTGCAGTTTATTAGGTTCAGAATTTTGAATTTTGTTCTGTTGAAAAATGTCCAAGTGGATAATTTGTTCATGGGCTTTTCATTTTTTTCTGTTGTTCTGTGATATCATATCATTTCCTGCTCAATTTGATGCATCAAAAGCTGCAGTTGTTAAAAAGATGGGTAATCATGAGTAATGAAATAGTACATAGAAAATACACAAGTCAGTCTTCCTGCATTCAAGTATAAAAGACTGTACCATGTTGGGACCTTCATATTTCATATTCATATTTCATTTTATCTAGGTATCTCATAATGACAGCTCTAAGGACTTAATTATGAGAAAATGAAAGGGTGAGATTCACGTTTTAATAGACTAAGTTCTTCACGTGCTACTTTGATATTTCTGGAAAAATGAGAGCTACGCTGTTGCTACTCATTGAAAGGGAGTTTGTTAGCAGTTTAACATGATCTTAGCGGCTTATGGGTTCTAGTTTAGGTTGGCTCTACCTACTTAGTATGAGGGCAAGAGACAAGATGGATGGAATATTAGGCTGAATCTATTTACTGTAACTTGACTTTGAATCTTACTGAAATACAAATTCTAGAATGCTTAAGATTAGAATTACTATAGTTTAAGAAAACGATCTTTTAAACATTGTTTTCATTGGGCTTCTTGAAGAAGTGATATTCCTGTCTTCAAAGGTGCTCATCCGATAAGCTGTCAGCGCTGTTTTACTCTGAAAGTGTATTTGAACTGGAAACTTTTCCACTTTATGTCTGAATTAAAGGATTGAGACGTTTGAAAAAAATTGTGCAGCTGTACTTGTCTTCAGTGCAAGACCTGAGTTACTAAAGATGTTTGGCCATATTGACCAGTGCTTTTGGCCAACAAGATCTCTTCAGAGTGCCTTGTTTTATCCCCTATGTGGCATGCAACAGGAACAGACACGTTCTTGGAAGAAGCATAATGTGCTGTATAGGAGGACAAGTTAGGGCTTCCTTGTACTTGATGTGACCAACCGATAGCGAGCCCACATTGTGATTTCTCCAGTTTGATTACTTTATCCTTATCAAGTCTGTTCTGTTTGTTTTATTTCTAAGCGCTATTGGACAAGTCAAAACTCAGGTGAGTATCTTTACCTAGGAGTTTCAGTGTTTGTTTGAATCAATATTCTGAATTGTAGATGGTTTGAAATCTGTATGCTTCTTTTTTTCATTAAGTTCTGTTCTGATGTTTGGCTGTACAAAATTGGAGGAAAAGTTTTGAAAAGGACTTTTTTGAATTTTGAAATTAGTTTGGCAACTCACCTGGTAGGAGAGAAATAGAATTTTAGTAGCTGCTGCTTCCAGTAACCCACAGATGCTTGTGATATGTAAGTTATTCAGTAGCGTCAGGCTTAAACAGTTGTTATTTCTTTTTCCTTCTCTAAGATTAACTTAGTTCTAAATGACCTTGAGGGGGGGAAGGGAGGAGGGTGAGGTCATGATTTTGTTAAGTATGGCACTTGTCTGCTGCATTCACAACAGTGAGGAAAAATGGTTTTAAAATGAAAGCTTTTTTGGAAGGTACAGTCTTTTTGGGCAGCTACTGCTTTGAGTTCTGTGGCAAAAGGGTCAGATTCTGTTATCTGAACAATTTGTCTCTGCAGTAATTGACGGAATTCATCCTTCCTCCCTGCTGGGACATCTCCCTCTAGTATTAGAGCTTGTACTGAGCGATCCTTTACACAGGACTAGCAAGTTAATATTAGCTCTTTCCTAAGAGAGACGCTATGCTCTCAGGGTGCCTTTTGCGAGCAAACGTTGACTGCTTATAGGAAATGCAGCTGACGTTAGGGAGCTTGGGTGGGGACTACAGGGAGCTGGCAAGTACTTTGGGCTTTGCTGCCAGGCTTGCTGACACAACAGTACTTTACTTGTAAAAGTTTTCCTTAGGCTGCTAATTTTGTCTTCAAAGTGACTGGAACTAATGCAGTGTCTCTGACGCCAAGTTGAAATAGCTAAAACAACAGTTTATGGGAAATTTAGAACACTATTTTCTTTCCACAGTCAAGATTTTCAGAAATGTTTAGTAATAAGAATGAGGGTTCTCTCTTCCTGAAAGGATGGATTTTGAACAGTGCCAAGGAATGAACGCGCTGTAAAATCAAGTCCCATCTAAATGTGGAGGTGGTGGCAAAGGCAGCTCATGGAGGGAGGGGAAAGCTAGCTGCATAAAACCTCTGCTAATGTCGAGCACTGTCTGTATTATATCATAATTTCCGTTTATTTGATTTACTAGTTTACAATTGTATTTCCTAATGTGTGAGTTTTTAATAGCTTCCCTTAGCCTTCAAATAAAAATTCTTAGCTTCAAGTGTCTCAAGACATTGAGAAATCTTGTCAAATAAGAACAGACAAAAAAAAAAAAAAAGATATACCACTTGTATATTCAGTTATTGCAGTTTAGGTGTAATGTGCTTGTCTTGTATTTGTGATCATGTAAAAGCCTATGGAGTAGTAAATCAAAGCTTTTAAAGGAGCTTTGAAGTGGGATCCAGGTTCCATTTATATTGCAGGAGTCTAGGTAAGAGTATGAGTTGGTGTTACCCTGCTGTTTCCACTTCTGGGTGTGAGGGGGCTGTCAAGTGATATCACAGGCAGAGGAACCTAGGAAAAAATAAGTATGTTTAACATCCAGAGTACAAAAAACTGGGACGCAGATAGTTCTTGGATTTCAACATCATTTTTAGATTTTAGGAAGAGGGCTTCCTTCCAAGCCCTGGAGTGCTAGAGTTGTTTGAAGGAATTCCAAATAAGTTGGAAGGAGTGAGATTCAGGAGGTGAACTTAATCAGCTCAAGTGTGCAGGATGCCATACTTGGTTAGTTTTGATCTCGTTGACCCTTTCATCAGCTGTGTTCTGCTCTTTCGCGTCTTTGTGGGTGCTGTTTTGCCTACAGCAACTGAATAGCATTCAACATTTCTTGAGTTTACTGTTCCCTAGTGCCTTATTTCTCTTATTACCCAAGTTGTTCTCCCCGTCATATTTTTAACCCCCTTTGTAAACTTTCGTTCTGAGCAGATCCTACATAGGCTAAGAAAGGCCTGTGTGTTGTAGGCCCTTAGAATGCGCTTGGAGGGAGTGCTATAGGAGGAAGAGAAGTGGAAAGATAGCAAGTGGATTTCAGTTGAACAGCAGCTCATTACATTGCTTGTGATTAAGCTGTGTGTTAAGTAGGGAAATTTCTAAAGTTTCCTGGGCCTTATCCACTTCTTTTTAAAACAGACTGTTCTTGATGGTCATTATAAATGCAGAAGAGCCTGACTAGAGGAATATTGCCCAAATTTCTGTTGTCCAGGTTAATTAACATTTATTAGACAATAAACTGTACTTGCATACTGGACTGAAATAACCCAAGAATGTTTTGAAATTTGTGTGTTTACAAAAGTGCTTATTTAAAAAAAGATAGTTTTATTATTGCTTTGGGTGTAGTAGATGGTAACAGGTAAGCTGTGGAGAATGTTGAATCTCTAAATCACACTTTTTCTTTTTCCTAATGAAGGAGAGTCTGATATCTGTGATGGTGCCTGTTTCCTTCCAAGGGAGGAAATCCTTTCAAGGGAGGATTTCTTTGAGGAGGGGGAAAAGCTGCAGTACTACTGAGATGATCTGGAGAGCATCCAGAGGCCTCAACTATGTGACAGGATGTATCTCTGGCCTTCTCTGTGGCCTGATTGAGCATTTCTGTTTACAGATGTGTAGAGTCAGCTCTGCGATGCAGTGAGATTGCACGTCCTCTGGGTGGAATGCTAAGGCTTAACTAGGGTCAGCTGAATTCCTCGGACAACAGTGTGGTGTTTTCCTCTTTGTGAAGCAAAGCTTGTTGTTGACAGTGACTGCATGTGTATAGAGTAGCATGAGATGGTTTCAGATGGTATATAAATATTGGGTGCCCTGTTGTTCAGCTGCTTCTGCACAGTTCTGGCGAAAGCAGCTGCAGTAACGGCAGCATTCGCATTTGCTCTTTACACATTAGCAATCTAATAAACTTCCTATGAACATCTGCAATTTTTCTGAAGTCCTTTGCCTCACGCTTTGCAGACCAGTTCCAGTACTTCCTAACTTAAAACTGTATAACAATAAATATTTTGTATATTAACATTACAGATGTACTTGTTTTCTGTTGGCAGTTATACAGGTTATATAGATTATTTTCTGGAGAGGTTGATTTTTATGCATTTAGGTTTTATGATTGCATAGCATGTCACTACCAGTAATATTTTTGAACTTGCGTCTGTTGTGAAGCATCTATTGCCTTTTACTCATTTACTTTTCCCTGTAGACTTTCTGTTTTGGGTCTCTAGGGCACAGCTCAGAGTTCTCTCTCCTTCTGAGTTATTGCTGGATTTTTTTTTGAGATGACTGTTATTTTTATTGTTTTAGAAATGAATGCTGTTCTATGTGAATTCTTAGTGTTTCTGCCAAAATCTAACCTTGAGTATGTGTATTTCAATATCAGCCACCTCAGTTAAAAAAAAAATAGGGGCGCATTGTAACGCGAAGTTGACAAGGATTGCAGGATTAAGATCTGCAATATTTTTCTTACATTTTAAATATGTTCTTGTGTGACAAAGCTGGCTGGCAGGGGCCTGAGGAGAACAGAATTGGTTATAAATCCGTCTTTAGCAAGTTAGAATGTGAACACATTGTTTTTGCAACAAATGTAATAAGATACAAATGGATAGGATGTAATGCTACATAGATTTCATTGACTGTTTGGTAATAATTTGGTAGTAATATTTTGGATCTAAGCTGCTTTGCATTAGGTTGTTCCTATACCCAATAGTACTAGTGTCTTCCTCTGAAAAATGTTAATTTATATACAGACATGTGTTTTAACCTGGAACATTTTTTTCAGGAATGTAGTAGTTGACACCTATTTATTTATTTATTTATTTATTTATTTTAACACTAATAATGTAACTTGACTACTGCTTTTTCTTTTTCCAGATGGAGCAATTATCAGATGAAGAGCTTGACCATGGTGCAGAAGAAGATAGTGATAAGGAAGATCAGGATCTGGACAAGATGTTTGGCGCCTGGCTGGGGGAGCTGGACAAACTCACACAGGTTAGGAAGGCTTTGAATATCTCAATGAATAATTCTGTACAGATAATACATTTTGAGGGCTTGGCTGGCTCTTTACTGTGTTAGTCTCAAGAAGAGTTCCAGTCGAAGATAAAATGCTTCAGACATGAAGAATTGAAAGCTTTTGACTATGATGCTTGTCAGGACCAAGCATGCATCCCCAGGTGCCCTGCGCTCTTCTGTGAAAGCTTCTAAATGAGTTACTTTTCCCCATGTCAGGTTTGTTTTTCACCAACCTGCTTATTTGAACTTTCTGAAAGGATATGAACCCTTTTGACAGCTGCAGAGCTGGCACTTTGTCCTTGTTGTATGTAAAGCAGCACTGACTTTAGCTAAAGCCAAGCTCTATCTCCAAACACCCTTTTGGACGTTGTCCAAATGCAAAAGCATTGAATTTCTTTGTTGCACCTGAGCAGCAATGAGGAACAAGAATGTTGCAGTGGTCATATTATCCTCCAGTACATTTTGGAGGATTCAGTTGTTATGGAGTGCTTTTCCTGCATTAGAGAAGCAACTGATATGACAGCTTTTCATGTCACTTCCTTCTTCCTAGTGCTTTTTATTTTCTTCACAAACATATTATGCCAGATGTTTGGAGCTGCAGTCCATTTCAGTGTTACTGCCTGCTGTGGTTGCCTTGGCAGAAGGAGCTGGCCCTCCTGAATAGTTTCCTCCCTCATCATCCCCTTTGTTTCACACACTTTAACATAGGTGTGATGTCCCAAGTTTCAGTAAAGCTAGAGAGGAAGAGGCTTTTTTCGTCATATCTTTATCCTGCAAGTTTGGGGAAAGGAGAGGGATCTCTGCCTTAAAGGAAAAAGGGAGGAAAATTGAACTATTTGTAATTGCACTTTAATTCGGTTTTATCTATATTATCTGTATCTTCTGGGTAAAGTCTCTGCCTTCAAGTTTTACACTCAGCATATTAAAATAGTATAAGTTAAAATAATATTTTTTCAAACTTGCTATGGAATTTTTTTGTAAGGTCCATTGGGACTCCTTGAAGGCATGGGCAATGGTAAGTAGCTTTAATGAGGACCTTCACTGCAGAGCAGCGGGGAATTGGTTTTAAACTTTTGATCCTTTTTCCTTTTTAGACAGGTCTGCTAGGAACACAAGTTGACTTTGCTGAAGCTTACAGCTGTCTTGAAACAGACTAGGTTTTTGATATATGAATTTTTGATTCATACAAAATATAGAAAGCCTATTAAGAGGTAGGCGAGTGGATAGGTGATGGATCCACATGCTTTCTCCCTTTAACGCTGCTGTGCAAGTCTGCAATAATGATCCACATTTGCATTTTTGTGTTCCAGAAACTGTTGGAAGTGACGTTGACCCCAAAACTTTGAATGACCTTAGAAAATAGTGTTATGTGAGCACTGTAACCCGGATGCATCTTGGTTGCTTGTTTGTTTTTGCGTTTGGAAAGTGACCTTGCCTTGGTGCAACTGGAGCCTTAATTAAGGGACATGATTAGATCTAATGAGATCCAAAGTACATTCTTATGTGTAGTCTCAGTGTTTGTTGCTATTTATCAGCTGAAATCGTGAGAGCAATTAGGGGAAGAGGCTTTTCTTTCCTTGAATTCCTTGACCTTTAGCTTCCTTTGTAGATTTCTGTATGTTTATTGGAGGGAATTGAAAGTGAGAACTAGATTACTTTTCATATGAAAATGATTTGGGAGATTTAACTGTTTAATTGTAGTGATGCCCACAAGAAGATTTGAATTCACTTTATCTTACTTAACCTCAGCTCTAATAAAAACACTATAAAATATAGCCACAAAATTTGCCATATATGTGGACAATGTTTGGCACTAATGCGGATTACATTAGTGATTAGTGTAAGATTATCCTACTCTGGAGTGCAGGATAAATGAAGGCAGTTTTACCTTGCTTCATGATCATTCATTGATGCTGACACAGTTCATAGCAATCTTGTAAATTGTGGGGGAGTTTTTTGTTTTGTTTTTTACTTTGGCAGAGAGTGGGTTCTGCATGGTCTCCTCTATGTCTTGAGCTTCACTGCTGCCTCTAGGGCTTTAAGTAGATATTTTTCAGCTTTTATTTATGGGAAATTTGTAAGCTTCATCAGAGATACCAGAGGGTTTTTTTCACCTGATGAAAGACAAGACCACAAAATTGTGCTTGTTAGTGATGATTGACTTACTAGAAAAGTATTTTTTTGAAGTTCAGGCTGAACTGAGAAGAGGAAGACTAGAATTTGGTCAAGTTGTAAGGCAGTATGTAACACTACTGAAAGATACACTGAGAAGGTACTTCTTTCAATTCTGTGACAACAGAATGTCTTGAATATCTTCCTTATTCACTCTGGTTTGATGGCATATGTTTGCAATCTAAAGGCTGAGAAAAATTTAGAGATGCCAAAGTTTTTTGAAAAGTTGGTCTTGCAGTTAATTTCCATTCCTGGTGAAGGTCTGCATGTCCAATTCCGTGTCAAACTTCATTCTACTCCTTTTCTCGTCTTTTCCAGAGTTTGGACACAGACAAGCCTGTAGCACCAGTGAAGAGATCTCCTCTCCGCCAAGAAACTAATCTTGCCAACTTCTCATATCGCTTCTCCATGTACAATTTGAATGGTTTGTTGAATTATTTAGCCTCTCAAATACTGGTGTTGGAAGAAAAGCTGTTTCAACATTGAGTGAGAATATTGTACGCTAGTTTAATAGAGCACTAGAATGCACTTCTAACTGAAGTGAGAGTGCGCTTGCTAAAGGCATTTCTTTTTGATGGCCAACTTGTATTACTCGCTTTGACACTGAATTCTGAGTGTCCTAAAAGAGTGTTTTTTGAAATCTGGTGTCTGAGAATTAAGTGTAGTGTTTGTAAAGGAGCACTTATTGAAGGGCTAGTCTCATGCAAGAATGAGTTGATGGGTATCTGCTAAACAGGAAGAAAGAGCATCTTGCCTGTGGGACAGGATGCAGGAATATAGGTCTAGAAAGCTTTTATGTTAAACAGAAATCATGCTTTGCCTTGTTTTAAAATAACTTCCTTTGGTTATAATACAGGAAGTCTTAATTTAAAGATTTGTGTGTATAGTATTTTGTGGCTTTTTAAAAGGGATGTTGCATATTTTCCATTTGCTTTAATAAAAATTCTTTAAAAAGTTGAAGGACGATGTACACAAATATGTTTTTAGATTCTTTCCACAGGCCGATGAACTTTTCAAATTCAATCTGAATTTTGATAGGTTTCTCTATCTGCAAATGTATTGATTTTTTTTTAATTACTTTTAGACAAGTGAAAGTAGTAGTGCAAATACAGTTGTTTAGCAGCAAGCAGGAATTTTGCAGTATAGATGGAAAAGGAAAATAAACCTGCCTTCTTCCCCCCCGCCCCCACACCATCAAATTTGTTAACACAAAATGAAGAGTTGTGCAGTGAAATAAAGTAACACGGAGTGTACTGTTAACTCTTGTTCGTTGCAGAAGCCTTGAATCAGGGGGAGACGGTGGATTTAGATGCCCTCATGGCTGATCTCTGTTCCATAGAGCAGGAGCTCAGCAACATTGGGTCTCATTCAGCAAATAGTGCTGCAGTGAAACGGCTACCCACAGAAACCAAAGCTCCGAAACCACTTGCTAGTCGACCTTCTGCAAAGCACAGTAGCATGAAAGGATTATCCTCTTCAGCTGGTAAGGTGACTAAACCATCCCATGCCAATGTTTCTCTGGATGACATCACTGCACAATTAGAGAAAGCCTCCTTGAGCATGGATGAGGCAGCCCAGCAGTCTGTCACAGAAGACACTAAGCCTGCTCAGCACAGGAGGACAGCATCTGCTGGCACAGTGAGTGATGCTGAAGTGCGCTCCATTAGCAACTCCTCCCGTTCCAGTGTGACCTCCGCAGCTTCCAGCATGGACTCCTTAGATATCGATAAGGTGACAAGACCTCAGGAACTGGACTTGACATCACAAGGGCAACCAATCACTGAGGTAAAGTGTTGTTAGTTTAAGAAAGCTTGTTTTTATTTTCTTGAAACTCAATTTTGCATCTTTCAAATGCTGACATTCCTAGCTAAACATCTTTAGTATGATGAGTTAATCGGGGTCAGGATTACAGTGGTGTAGACTGTGTGGTCTGTGGCTGCTTTCACTGTTTTATCTTCTTTACCACTAAAGAATTTTTGTAAATGTATATGCATATTTTAAAAAGCTTTGCCCATCTTCTTTCCGAGCATTTCATGACTAGACTGCATTCCTGTTTGAACAGTTTACACTAGAAACTCTCCTGGAGAAATGTATTCTGAAACAGAAACCTGGCTTATTGGTCAAAAGTTGTCTATAGTAATATACATGCTCTTTCAGTTTTCTCTTCTGCAAAGAGGAAACTGAAAGAAGTTGAGCTTATTCTACTCAATAATTAACTGTGATTTGGATGAGTAGTGCTAAAAGTATGCCTTCATTCATTGGCAGTGGAAGTAGATTTATCCAGAGTGAAGAGAGAGTGATGTAAGCCTGTCAGTGTAATGATCAACTCAGCAACGTCACGCTTAGATTTAAATCTCTTATATGAAATAGTGAGAATAGAAGTGATAGTTCAGTTACTTTCAATAGGAACTATCTCTCTGTAGAAAGTTAAAATGCAAAATTTTGTGCGGTTGCTGTAAGCTTAAGAGTTGGAGCTGCTCTGTTACAGTCTTAATGATTCATTTATCATTCATATTCTTTCTGTGGTATGCTTATTTTAGTCTCTGACTGATCTCTGACTGTTATAAATGGCATTATCTTTTTTATGGGCAAAATTATTCTGTTATGTATTTTAACCTGTCCTGAGGCTAAAAAGAAGACTTACTTGAATTAATTGTGTCTGAAAATGGAACTTGATGTTCACTTTTTAAAGTTACAGAACGTTTTCTGCAGTTGATTTTCCAGGTCTTGGTCTCAGATCACAGCATCTCTGACTTAAGGAATGATAGAAATTAGTAAGAGTGCCCTTCATGTTTCCAGATTTTTCAGTTCTTTGCATGCCAGGAGTGCTAAGCCAAACCATCTGCTCCTATTTAGTGACTTGATAATGGTGAATCAAGAGGCAAAGATTTAGAAGCCGCTTGGTCTTTGTGGGAAGCTGATCCATGTTGCTGCAAGTACCTCTCGGTTGCAGTGAGCCCTTGACTGTGAGGCTGAGAACCCCCAAAGCCTTCAAAGAAATGCCAGAGTTAGCAGTGTAAACCAAGTGATTGCTTTGCCTAAGAATGTGGCTATTGTTTCTCTGCCCAGATAAGTTGATAAGAATGACTCCTTTGAAGGAGGCCACAAGAATGTGTTGGTAATTTGAGAGTCAAAATTCTGCACCCCTCTGGAGAGCAGACTTCTCTACAATTATTTACAGTGCTGCTTTGTTTTACTGTCCCTTGTTTGGCCTTTCTAATTTTAGTAACATCAGGAAAGTGTTTAACTCAAAAAGCCTTCCCAAATTAACTAATATTTAGCTATTCAGGTTTACACCTCATGGGGCATTTCACTGTGATAGGAAAAGTTCATGTTTTTCGCTTCCACCCCCCTCACTATGACTACTGAAAAGAAAAAGGGAAAATCCCGTTTGTTTGGAGCTGATGACAAATTCTGCACTTGTGTCTGTTCAATCACATTCATCTTGTAAATAAGCAGAAACAGTGGATTCTTAGGAGAGTCACTGGACACGAACAAAGGATTTTTAATTTTTTTTTCTCTTATTCATTTAGTGCCGGAAACCTATTGTTTAGGTTTCTATTACTCCTCGTGGGTAGGGTGTGAATGAAAACACACTTGGCCAGTAGGACTGAATTCTGTTCTCAGACCCACACCATTAGCTCAGTGATGCTGTTACGGATGGAGGAAATGAGTAGGGAGAATAGGAAGTAGTCTTTGAAAATTTAGTGCCCATGTAGGGAAAAACAGCCCTGGCACAATTGTCTTATGCAGCTATTTAAGAGAAACTGCTACTAGGTGGCCTCAGAAAATCTATATTGAGATGTGTTTTTCTTGCATAGCACCCTAAAATAGCTCTCTTTGCCCATCTTCCTTGTTACTGTACTTAAAGCTGCTGACCTTTAAAATATTTCTTTGCCTGTATGGCTCTTACAAAAATACTCAATGATTTGGCAGACTTGCCCTTTTCACCCAATCCTCTTTGTCTGCTCCAGTAGAGCAATAATTAAAAAAAAAAAACCCCACCTCCACTCTTACTCAGCCTGATTTTATTGGAATCACAAGAGGAAGAGATTGCTATTTTGATAGGAAATGTTGATCTGTAAAAGGAAGTTAAGTTTGTTTAATTAACCTAAGTATTCTGTCTAATGTAGGGAACAGCCATGCACTGGCACATTGAAAGTATGTGTAGTCTAGTACCATTTATGACATGTTAATGACAGATATTATGGGAAGGCAACAAAAAAAAAGGGAGAATGTGCTCTCTCCCTTCTCTGCTAAAAGTCTTAGCTATGGTCCTGTTACCTCCTGTGTTCAGGCTTTGGTATTTGCTCCTTAACACACTGAAACTTTCCAGTTCTGTTTTGGGCATAGGCTCGCTAGAGGGGTCTGCACACTGGAACCAGGTTGTCATGAGTAATGGGAGCTGGAATATGGAAGGGAGAGCAGGGCTGTCTACATAAGAGTCAAGGATTCTGTTCATGATATATTTGTGCTGTGTTATACTTGTTTGAACTGCATTCATCCTTAAAAGAGTAGGTAGCTTTCCAGCATTTACACTTGTACTAGTTGTCTGCTTTACTAGTTGTATTGAGTGACATACACTTTAATTCTTAATTTCTGTATGTCACATGCTTTACCTGAATGTAAAACTGAATGAGTGAAGAAGCAGCGTGAGTAATAGAAGTAATGACTGTATGACTACCTTATCCCATCCTCCCATCCATACTGTTATTTCTCTCTTTCATTCTGTTCTTTCACCACCAAGAAATTGTTTTTGTATTTTGAGTGAGTTGTGTCTAGGGCAACCAGGGAAGAAAATAGTGGGAGCAGATTAGAGAACTGTCAGCTGTGCTTACGTAGCTTGTTCTGTCTGATCAGTGAAAGGGTCTTTTCATGGACAGTCATTGTTACTGTCCTGCATATACTGGGAAGAAGGTGCAGATAAAATCGAAGGATGCCATCTGGCCAGGCACAATAGGGCATTCCCCCAGCCTCGTGGAGTTCTTTATGTAACCCAGTTTGCACAGCCGAGATTCTGGTTTGACTGAGAGGATGGCACATAATTTAGCAGTTGATAATGCTGCATTCTTTAGTTTTCTGTGAGTTTGTTTGTTATTCATTTGTTGTAGTTTTATATCTGAGGTCTAAGGGTTGGAAATCATGACAGAGTTATGCTGGTGCATTAAAAACCCCAGATTCTTTGCTTCCCTTCAGAGAAACTGGCACTATAAACTTGAACATTTATTTCGGGCAAAAATAAGGGAGCCTTGTGGGCATGACAGTAAGTCACGGCAGTGATGTAAGCTAAGTTCATTTAGACAAATTTATGTTGGCCTGCAACTGCTGTGGAAAGTTTGAAAGGGGCGTAAGGGAAGGCTAAATTTGTGTCCTACGTCAGTCCTTGCTTCATTCTCTGTATGGATATTTTGTCACTGAAATGTTTGCTACATAGAGGTGTGAGATAAAAGCTTTTCTACTCACAGCATATTATTATTCAGGTCATTTTTTATGTGTGATTTTATATATATGGTAACATACGAATGTTAAATTATTTGAAAACACAGTCAACTGCAGAGAAATCAACCCTTAATGTACACAGTCTTTGGTAGGTAACAGCATCTTAAAATAGAGTTGTATTGCTGAACCACACTTCTTATTTGTAGATGATTTAAAGAACAGTTGTGGTCTATTTTAGTTCTTAGAGGAATAGGGTGTGTGTTATTGGCTCTTATATTTGGGAGCTTAAGGTTGAGTGGTTTTCCTTATGCTCTCTGTTGTACATAACCACAAGTAGGTGCTAAGGAAATTGGTCTGATTTGTGAGAATAGTCACAGATATGCAAAAAACAAGGCGTGAAAAATTACTCAGAAGTTTTAAGTAAATCTTCTTTTCTGACAGTTCTGTTATGTCATTAGCTTTTTACATTTTGGAGTGCTTTTAGTTATCCCTTTCCTAAAGTCAATGGAAAGACTTGATTTGAAACACAATTAAACCATCTCTTCCTCTTTCCAATTATTAATCACAGAGTGTTTTTAAATAAGTCAGTAAAGGAAAATTGTGCCTGTCTTTCATCTTGAAACATTACTTTGGCTTACAGCTTTGTTGGTATAAGAAATGAGAGCTACCCAGTTTTCAAATGCTCTTAAAAAAAAACGTAAAGTGCCTCTCTGCTTGCTGGATTGTCGAAGGCTTTCAAAATGTGTTCCATGATAAACATACCAGTTTATGAAATTTAAGCAGTGTTTAGTGTTCTAAGCGGTGTTAAGCGTTCACTGAACGGTGTTCAGTGTTCAGATGTCCAGCTTACCCTTTGCTTATGAAATTTATGCATGACAGTAAAGCAATTTTTTCATATAAAGTACTAGAACACAGAGATCACTAATACACTCGTCCACATGTCCTTAAGTTTATTTTTTTATTGTATTCATTAAATGCTCAAATAAATTTAAATTATTTTAATAGTTTATTTTTAAAGAGCTTTGGCATGCAAGTGAAGGTTTGGAATAGGAGAGAGACATTCTCAATGTTGAAATAGCTCTATGTGCTTAGGATAGCAGGGTAGGATTGGAAATTTGGGGCATCATAATTTAAATGAAGTGGAAATAAGAACCTAAATTTTATCTGTGTATTGCTCGATCTCAATTCTTCGATCTATATTTTCAACTTGGATCATAGCCATGAATTTAAAATTTGCCCTGCAGTTTTTTCCTGTATGAAGTCTCTAATTTAAGCATGCAGCTTTAAGTACTGAGCAGCTGAGTTGTTTAAAAAAATAAAAATGTACATACATTTTGAAATTACCT